GGAACGGGGCGCTCCGGCAGATGTGGGCCCTGAAGTTCTGGAACGGCGCCTACGGCGCCTCCATCTCGAGGGCGCGTAGGGGGGGGGGGGGGGGGAGTTCTGAGATCTGGCCCAAGGCGGGGCGTGTGCGGGAGCGACCCCAGCCGGAGACTGGCACTTTCCCTCCTCCGGAGGCCGTCCCTCGGACCCCTCCTCTGGCCATGCCCCTTGGTATCGATCTCGGACGCGTGCACGTCTCCCTCGGCGCGGACCATCGAGGAGCACCTGGGATCACATCTCGCGAAGAAACGTGCGCGCACGAGGCCGCAGGAGGCACACGGAGGGGACGCCCGAGAGGTGGCAGAGCCCCCCCCCCCCCTTGACGCCCCCCCGGCCGTCGGCTCCATGCTGTACTACTACATCACCTACGTGCTCGGGACGCACGGTGCCGAGCGGAGCGCCGTGATCTTGGCCGCCGGCATGGCCGCGGGCGGCACGGAGTCGGTGATGAACGTGGTGTACATGTGGCTGTTCAGCCGCGGCGACGGGCGCCAGGACACCAGCGGGCAGGCGGACAGGCGCCTCCTGTCGTTCGTCGTGGCCATGCGGCTGCTGAACGCCGCCTTCACCGTCCTTGCCATGCTCGTCCTCACCCCCTCGGTGTACGTGTTCTTGGCATGGTGCGTCCTCTGCCGAGTCGGTCTCTCCGGGTTCACGTTCTGGAGGGTCTCCGCCCAGTGCTGGCTCGTGGACGAGGACACCCTGGTCACCCCTGGCGCGGAGCGGCGAGAGGCGCGGATATTGTCCTCCCTCTCGGCCGTCCAGAACGTGGCAGCCGCGGTTTGCGGCTCCCTCACCTTCTTGGGCCTTTCTCTGTATGGCCTGAAGACTTGGAACTGCGAGGCGATCTGCAATGCTTCCGACGTGGAGGGCATGGGGCAGTGCATCACAGACTGCACGCGCGACATGGTAGATGGCCAGCCAGACGCGCTGAGGCTCTACATCAGCGCAGTGATCGGCCTCTGGGCGCCGCTGTGCGAGCTGCTCGTGGCGCTCCACACCTACAGGTTCCCGATCAAGGGTGCTCGGCTGCGCCGGCTCTACGCCCGCGTGTCCGAGCGGCGCGGCGACGAGGCCGCGCAGCCCGCGGCCTGGACGCCGGGCGGCCCCCGGTGCAGCCGCAGGGAGGCCGCAGAGCATTTCGCCAGCTCCAAGATCGTGCTTCAGGTGGGGCGCCCCAGAAAGGGCCTCGTCTTCGAGGGGCCGAGAAGGTGACTTCTCTTCCGCGGCGGAAGGCCCGCGGAAGGGCAACGCCGTCGACTCCGCCGGTGGAAGTTGCCGGGAGCTGGCGGAAACAGGAAAAACGTCCCTAAGAGATGGCAACATTTGTGGGTTCAGGGTTTCCAGAACCCGACAGGTAGAGCAGCACCCCAAAGAGGGCCTGACAGCTTCATCATTGGTCCAGCTGGTGCACACGACATCGATCGTCGGTCTGTTCCCAGGGTCGAAATCACACGCGGTCATCTTCGACATGATTGAACACAGCATGGCGAGCCGAAGTATTGCGAGCTCGGTGGAGGCGTCCAGCCGCGCGAGCACACCAGGAGCAGTCTCGCTGAGCAGCAGCAGGAGCACTTCGAGGGCACTGGCCAGCGCCGCCCGCGCCGCTGCGGCCATGCAGGCGCTGGGCCCGGATCCGCACGGCCCGCGTGCCAGCACGGAGGCCTCCACGGCGGGGGCCGCGGAGGCCGCCCCGGCAGGCCGGCGGGAGTCCAGCGCGGGGGTGGCCACCGGCCAGCGGGGGCCCGGCGGTGCGGGGAGTTCCTGCGCCGACAAGGTGCAGGCGTGAGGGAGGTCCGCGTGGCCAGGCCACACGGCCCGAGCGGGCCAGGGCTGCCGGGAGGCCAGTGGCCCCTCGCCGCCACGGCGTCGTGGGCTTTGCCTCCGCGCCAGGCCACGCGCCTGCCCATATGCTTCGCGGGCTGGGCTGCTTTTTCTGTCCGAGCGCCTTCCAGAGTGTGCTGTGAGCGCCTCATCTGGTCGCCCTCGCTCTTCCTTTTTGTTTCTCTCTCTCTCTCTCTCCCTCTCTCTCTCTCCCTCTCTCTCTCTCTCTCTCTCTCTCTCTCTATCTATCTCTCTCTCTCTCTTTTTGTATCTCTCTCTCTCTCTCTTGCTGTCTTTCTCGAAGACCACAATAGCGATCGTGCCATGTCCCCCCCACCCACCCACGACGAGCCGAAGCTGAGCATGCCAGGTTTACAGCGCCTGTCAGGCTTTCCGCAGTAGACCCCCACCATGCGCCACAAAGTGCTACTGGTGGGTATTCAAGGAATTCGCATGGATGAACAGGTAATTTTTGACGCTTCTCACAGGCCCCACCAGCCCATCCAGAAGCGATACCCATGCGGGGTGTATTGATGAGGAGAGCACAGGAGCAAGCAGTGGAACAAAGAGGGGGAGGCAGCCGTCGAATCGAATGTCGGGATCAGCCAGAACAGACCCAGGGGTCAGCCACAAATGTCAAGTCGCGCACGTCCCTCTACAGGAAGATTCAAAAATTTGCAAGGAAAAATACTCCGGGTAGGAATTTGACTATAGTTGGCTATGTTTGAGCATTGTTTGACTGTGTTTTATTTTGCTTCCAAGATCAGCCTGTAGGGGACATGCCCGACCTAACACAAATGCCTTCGCGCATCTGTCCATCCGGGAGCCTCTTGGCAGCAAACATTTAAGCAAGATTGGGCCCTTCTGGGGGGCCACGTTGCATGACTTTGGCGGCTATGCTGGGGCTGTCTTGGGGTCCTTTTGACAGCCTGTGGGGCCCTCTTTGGGCCATCTTGGCGGCCAGCGCGCACAAAAAGGGTTTGTGGACTCAATTCGGGCACCCCCTCTTGGGGGTCGTCGGGCCTTCTTGAAGCTTTTTATCCGCCCATAGTGGTGCTCTCTTGGCCGATCTTAGGGGTCTCGAAAGCCCGTGGGAAGCGAAAAGACGAAAAAGCCAGAATCATTAAAAAGGTTTTGGAAGTTGAGAAATGTTGGCCTCTCGGGTGTCTCCTTGGGAGGCTCCGAGGCGACAAGGAGCCGTCTTGGGGCGGTCTTGGGGCCGGTTGAAGGCATGGTGGAAGCCATCTTCAACCATTTTGAATAAGATTGCGCATCTTGGAGGTCATCTTGGACTATCTTGGGCCCTCTTGGAGCCATCTTGGGCCAAAACGGACCCACTGACACATCGCGAAACTCTGGTCACGACCCCAGGGGACTTCCCCTGACAAGGCAGGCGGACTCCATTATTCTACGGGCGTCCTCAAAGCCAGTATGGGGTGGACTCCAAGCTGGCCCACACCCCACCAAGACGGCCCCACAGGGCCAGACAAGAGAAGACAAAATTAGACAAGTCAGAACGATATATGGCAACAAGATGCTTCAAGAAACCGCAAAGAGGGTTACCGAGAGGCCCAAATCTTGCAACACAGAAAGTCCGTGATGTTAGTTTTCGACATGTTGTTGCTCCCGATTGGTTCTTGCGGTATCAAGGCGGCCTCCAGATAACCTCAGGCAAGCCCCTAGACGGGCTCAAGGGGCTAAAGAAGGTCCCAGAGGCTCCTGGAAGGGCTCCAGGATGTCAAGCCTTAGAAAGTCCAGCAGTGCCAAGCACCCAGCGACGGCCCCAGAGGCCCCCAAGAGCCTTCCCAGAGGCCTTCCCAGGGGCCCCCAAGCGGCCCCCCAGAGGCCCCCAAGCGACCCCCAAGAGGCCTCGCTGGGCGGAGGGGGGATCCGGCGTGGACTCCCCCCTGACCAGGGGGGACACGCCAAGGCAGCCTCCAGGTCGGCCCAAGGTGGCCCCTAGGATGCCGCCACGATGAGGGCTCCTCAGAGGCCAACGTCTTTCAAACCGCCCAAACTAATCAATGACGTGTGCCTTCGACGCCCTGTTGCTGCCGAACGGATGTCCGGCTTCTAGACGGTCTCAAGAGGGCCCCATGAGAGCCCCAAGACGCCCCCAGAGGCCCCCAAGAGGACACCAAGAGAGCCCCACAACAGTGTCCAGCGTCATGGTCACCTCTCACAGGCCCCATAACGGCCCGAGGAGGTCCCGAAAAAGATCCAAGACGCTCCCACAATGCCCCACTAAGTTTTCAGAAGGGTACAAGATGGTCCCCATAAACCACGAATCTGCTATTCCACTGGCCTTTGCAAGCGGCCTTTCATAGCTCGCCGACAGCCCCCCCGCCAGGAGAGCACAAGTGACGTTCCTCCCCACTGGCTGCACCTTTGGTGCAGAATCCTCCCGATTGGCATGGTATGGGGAGGGTTCCCGCCTCCCTGGGCCCCCAGGAAGCTTCGCTAGGCGGGGGGGGGGGGGATTTTGGTGTGGAGCCAGGGGAAGGGTAAACCCTTCCTTGGATGGGGGAGAAGCGGTTGGGAAGAGCGACCTCATTGAACCACCTGCGCCTGGAGGGCTGGTGAGGCTTCTGACGTCTCTCGTGCGTGGACTCTCGGGAACGCCGTCTCGCACGCTAGGGGCCTGAGACTAAACTCGGCGGACGGCGGGTCAAAGCGCCCGGCCGCGCGAGCGAGAGTTGTCTCCGCCCGCCGCACGCTGGCCGAACCCGCGCGGCTCCATCAGGGGCAACGACGGGGAGGAATGGGCTCAGGGTGGAACGCATCGACCCCCCATAGCCCATCGACCGGCGAGAGGGGTCTGAGTGGCCCCGCGCCGCCCGGCATCCGCCATCCCATCGCCGATCCATCGGCGACGTATCTCGCCGCTTCCAGGCTGATGTCCCCCTCCCTGGAGAGCCAGTCCTCCCGGATCGCTGCCCCCCACTCCAGCGAGCGATGCCCTGCGGCAGGGGACTGCGCGGCGGGGCCGTCCGGGCTCGGAGCCGCTCCTCCGCCATGGGGGGCGCCGCGGCACGCCCGGCCCGCGGCCGCCCCCCTCCCGCAGAGGAGCGCCGCGGCGGGGAAGCCGCCCGCGGCCTTGAGCCGACACCCCCCCCGCCAGCGATCCTCCTCCTCCT